CTACCTTTAAATGTAAGGAAAAAATTTTCAACTTGCAGCCAGCGAAGCATCTACAAGGAAAACTCGGAATCCACAAGGATGACCTCAGCTAAGACTGCTACCAATAGTGGACAGGATGGCTGAACTGGCCATCCCCTGTAATCAGATTAGTGAGCACCTTAACTTCCATCATAGAATCTACTTCCAGAAACTGATGGAAGAACATACAGTGATCCACTGTTAAGCACTGGGCTGAGCTCCTGGAATTCACCTGAAGAGAGGGAGGAGGGATCATGTGAGCAATGGCCTGGGGTCAAGATCATGATGGGGAAAACCACAGAGGAGCCGACTCGAGCTAGTGGGAGCTCACAGACTGTGGACTGACACCTGGGGAACCTGCATAGGATGGAAGTAGGCTCTCTGAATGTGGGTAATGGTTATGGGGCTTGATCTGTTTGGGGAGACCCTGGCAATGGGAGCAGGACTTACCCCAGGTACACGAACTGGCTTTTTGGAGCCCATTGACTATGGTAGGATACCTTACCCAGCCTGATTAAGGGGGGAGAAACTTCTTCCACATGGCTCAAATTGGTATGCCAGACTTTGGTGACTCTCTAAGGGAGGCCTTATCACCTCTGAGAAGTACTTGAGGGTTGAAATAGAGGGAGATGGGGAGGAGGGAAGTGAGAGGGAGGAAGAATGGGGTTAGAATATAAAAATAGTAAATAAATAGATAAATACATATATAAATAATTTTAAAGACCTTATGTAGGGGCTAGTAATAATAGAAAGAAAAGCTATAATAACTACAACTAGAGAATAATCTGATTAACGGGGGATGCCAACAAAGTCGTGTATTTTTTCTTTCTTTGACTGCCTGTTTAACACATAGTGGAAAATGAGGTTCACAAATACAGACTGCTAAAGTCTCCCTGAGAAGGAACTTGGGATGAGACATTCATAGCCTAGGCTTGACAACTCTTTCCTACCTCTGGGTGTTGTTGAGAATGTTCAAGATCAGAAAGTCTACAGTGAAAGCTTTATTGTGCTATTTAGCTTCTGGACAAATTAAAATGTACATGTTGAATTTTTTCTCATACTAGAATCTTGGATGTTTAGTTTCACTCTATATACATGGCAATGCTATTAAGACGTTTACTGATAAACTGAAGTCAAAGCGGAGGTTTTATTTGTCTCATATATACCTGCTAGCTTCTTGTAGATACAGAAAAGTAACATGTAAAATACTCATTAAAATTATCACCAATCAGTATTAAAATAATGTTCCTTCAGTCTTGGAAGTAGATTTTGTTCTTTAATAACTTGGCACAGCTGGCTAAACAGAAAAACTCAGAATGGAATGTCAGCTGAACACATTCCAGTGCACTTTCTGAACCAACATGCCATCATCTTGTTGTTTGTATCTAGTCGACTTATCTTTCTAAACTTTCAGCAGCATGGAAAATGTTCCAAATATTCAAAATGTTGTGGAATCTGTGGGAGTATTTAAAGTTAGGAAATCAGTCACTAATGAAGTAGCAATGAAACTGGCCTGGGAATGAAACCCATCCTACTCAATGAAATTTGCCCACAAATGCTGTAGCTCAAGCTTATCAGGCACCTGACACCGGGGATTCTGAGGGTAACAAGCCCCACTTGCCTTTGTTGCAGCATTTACAACTCTTTTCTCTTAGCCCTTAAGAACCCTCTGCGGGTAGCTGGCAAAAATGCTTATCTTTCCCTGGCAACTTTCTTCAAAATTCATGAATGTATTTTTAGTTGTCCTTGACATGAAAGATACGCAAAGATACATGTTTCTCCCTTAGGAAATGAGTGGATGCTCCTTAGGTGATGTGGTTAATGGAAACAGGATGAATATCTCAAAGCTTTGGCTAGACTGAATCACTAGACCATATATTCCTTATCTCACTTTTGAAGAGCAAGCATTCAGAATCAACCGTGCTTTATGGAAATAAAAGGATAAACAATAATCTGAATTGATTTCATTAGTGTGCTAGAATTATAAAAAATATTAGAGGCTGTCTCACTGACTTTATGTTTGCAGTGCTGAAATTTTTTCAGATACAGAATTGCCACCATGTGCATTCACACCTACCACTGGTTTAATCGCAGCAGACAATGTCAAACAGCACCTGGAGGGCGAATTTGTCCCCAGTTGAGAGCTACACCTGTTCATAGACTGTTTATCCTGGGAGATTTTACTCTAAAGATCCCTGGATGAAATAAGATGAGCAACATCAAAACAAACAACAACAACAATGGCAGCAGTGATATTAGCAAACTTAATTATCTAACTACATGTGGCAAACTGTTGTACTCTTATCCAGTCCTCATAAAAGACTTGGAAGTTGCCATTTTAAGACACATTTTTTTCAGTGGAGAACATTGAGCCCCAGGGAAATTAAGCACTTAACTGACCAACATCATACCATTGGAAAGCTGCGCAGCCAGGGTTTGTTTCCAAGCCATCTCCAGAGTCTATGTAATTATCTAGGCAGTTCTGCCCATTTGGAATGCCAGTTTTTAATTTAAAATTCTTAATTTGCCATACTTATTAAGCATTTACATTTTCTCACTAACCGAAAGAAAATTGACCTTTTGTCTTAATGCTGATAATATTTTAATTATTTGATATTCCTTATAAGCATCTATGGATGCAAGCAACGGAGCCACTTTCCCTGGCAAAGGTAATCAACATGAGGTCCAGTAAATCCAGAAGTCCCAGAAGTGAAAAGGGAGCAATGTAACTCTGCATGCAGGAGAGGATTTAACAAAGGAGATAAATCTTGAATCGGTCCTTTAGACATCCTGTTAAAGTGGGACAAATAAATGTCTGCCTGGTGGAGAGTAATTCTAATCAGAGTTATAAGGATGTTCAAAGGGTTTGCTATGCTTGGAGAATTGCAGGAGCCAAGAACACAAGAGAGGCTAAAAAGGAATAAACAAATAAATAAACAATAAATAAAAGTTAGATTCTTCACAGTAATCTCCGGCCTGTCTTTGTCACTGGAGGGCAGTAGACCAGCCAAAATGACACTAGACACACGGTCAAGTGGGTTCCAGACCCGGCAGCTGAAGTGAAAGGTGTTTCATGGTAGTGAGATTATGGACATGAGTAAGGGGCATTCAACAAGAGTTGAGATGGACAGAAGGGTCAGGTAGGAGAGGTTATTAACAAGAGAAGAAAGGCGGGCAGTGTGGAGGGAGAGTCCCCTCTTAATGAGCTATGAGAACAAATAGATAGAACATGTTTGTGGACGAACTGTGGAGGAAGCAAAACAATGTACTTTCAGGGATAATATGGAAATATATTTGGCAACCATTTCAGCAGCCTGCAGAAAGTGGAGTAACACTCCTGGGTCTTCCTACTCCTTCCAGATCTCCCGCAGAAGCTGAACAGATGAATTAGTTAGGCAAGGTTCAGAGCTACAAGATAGGTCTGAAGCTGTGGTTCTACTTCACTGAGCTACACCACTGCAACAGTTTACTTCTGAGAACATCAGCTGCTTAATCTGAGGCAGTATTGATGAAGACTCAACCGAGTGTGTTTGAGAAATGAGGAGCCAGCTATTCACGCTGAGAGACTAGTCTCAGATCTTAGCACACACTTGCTGAATGGTAACTAATCAGATTTGGGGTTCTTTTAAATAACCTTTGACTCATGCATTTAGCATAAGAATCATTAAAAGGATGAAGAAATGCTCTTTTAGACTTTTAGTGTCAGGTTTTTTTTTTCTGTTCCGTTCTTTCAGAAAATAGTTAATGTTTCATTCTTCTCTCCAAAGTAAAATTCACCAGTATAATGCCAAATGGACATTTTATCTCTATGCATTATGTGATAGATTTCCAAACTTCATCATTTAAATTCAAAATTAGCATACGGCATACAGTCCAACATTTTTAACCTTTTTTTTTTGCCAAGTATCTTCTTCAAACTATGCTAAGAGTCACTTACCATTCTTCAGTGTCTGTAAGATAAAGCAGTTTTTTAACTCACTGATATAAAGATTTTATGGTCTCTTCACTAGACTTGTAGACAGAAAAGAGTTTTTATTTACTATGCACCAACAATTTCTTCAATGTGTGTGTCTAAATAGTTGTGTTATCTGCTGTTTAAGGAGTGCTGTTAGGAGCCAGATCCCTTGAAACCTAAACGTTCCATACTCACTTTTCAGATTGGCAGAAAGATGGAAAGTATTGTGACACACAGCCTCATGGTTCCTCAACTGTATTATGATGTGAAAACTCCTGCCTGCCTTTAACAGCCTCCTGACTCCAGAATTACCTTATCCTTTCTGTTTCACCTCAATTTTATCATTAATCAAATACCAGTGCATCATGAAAGCATAATCATTAATTCTACATTTCCCTTACCTTATACTTTCTTTAGAATACCACTATCTCTGTGCTTAAGGGACTAATTGGACATCCTTTCTGCTTACTACAATTGTTAGCTCTGAACATTCAAAATTATAAATGTGTATAGTTAATAACAATATCCCCCATATCATGTTGGAATTCAAGCCAAAGTAAAAATACCATGATCTTAGCTTGGAGGAGTATTAATTTAGAAATTTAGTTATAAAATTTTGCCAAATTCAAGAAGTAACTAGCTGTGTGACTTAATAACTTATTTTTATAGCTAGAGATACATACATACATGCAAAAATATTAAAAATATTGATAGGGTTTATAAAATCAGAAATAAAAGGACTGTTGTTGTTCATGAATATGGACAGACAGATGAAAACCATCTGAATAAATGCAATTGCTTTCCCTGATCCAATACCCACTCACCCCACCACCACACACACACACACACACACAGAGAGAGAAAGTAGGAGGTATGTTTGATCCAAATTATCAAGATAATTGATTCAGTCTACTGTGATAGAGAACATCCATCACCCTACAGTGAAAATTTTTTGTCCTATCTGTAGTGAAAGAACTGACGTTCTTCTCATATCCTTACACATTCTTTTCTCACGTGACTATTTTAGGTGTATCAATACATGCATGAAACGATCACTGTTAATGGCTGCCCCGAGTTCCGAGCGAGGGCCACGGCAAAGGTAAGACTTGAGCAACTTTGAAAGTATACTTGACCCCAGTGATGTAGTAATTGATTGTGCGCGTGTGTGTTTCAGGTATTCTCGTGTGTACACTGTAAGCGAATTTAGACCTCAGTGGCAGCCCAGAGTCTAGAACCAGTACTACTTACCAGGTAAAAAATCCTAATGGAAAAATTGACCTTTTCTGCTGCTTCTGTAGCTTAAGGAAGGAGAATGATTTCATTGAACTCACTAAATGTCCATTTGGCACAAGCAAATCTGCTGCTTCACCGTATCAAGTTCTACATGGTTTCTGGTCCATCCTGCGGATGCAAAAGAACCTGTAATCCTATGCAGAGCATGAAAACTCATCCGCACAGACCGAAAGCCGTGATGTAGGTTAGACACGAAAGGTTTCACCTGACACCACTGATCCAGCGCTCTTCTTTGTATTCAGCTAGGCAATGGGTAATTTGCTGCAAGTGACATTGACCTAACAGAAGGCTTGGCACCTTGTTCTTTCAAGGATCAAACCCAGAGAATACAGAGGTCCCATTGAAAAGGATACAGAAAGAGGATGATGACATTTTCTGGAAGATGGATCACTAGGAAACAAGAGTGGCACTCTGAAGTCACTCCTGCAGCTCTGCAGCTCCTATCTGACGAACAGAGTGTTTTAACAGAACACAGCTTACCTGATACAGGGCTTGTAACTTCCTAATAATACTAAGAAGTGGGAAGCACTGAGAACATTCAGAATCTCTCATTTGACTCCTTTGTGTTACATCACCTGTTCTGTGATTTCTCCCCTGATATTTTTCAGTTCTCATTCTGTAACCAAATACTGTGGATTTTTAGTTCATTTTTTTCTTCCCTAACCCCAGCAAGTAGAGGGTATGATTACCATTACATCATGCTTTGCTTGTTCTGAAGTGGAACATACGCAGAAAAATGATCCCTACATGGCTTAATTAAGGGGAAAGTGAATTGTGTAGTGTTTTACCATTCTCATTTCTTATTCATGTAGAACAGCAGGATGGCAGCATAATGTTGCAATAGCACAATATTTTCTGGTTGTTTCTGGGCTGTCTGCATTGCATCCATGTCAGCCATTGGAACCTTTGCATGACTACAGGGTTTGCATGAGCAAATGCATGTAGCTAAAACCAAGCCATTATTTCCACGTCATTCGCTATCTTTCATTAAATGCAGGCAGTAGCATAATGCTAACTTGATGCGATAATGTGGTGTGTGGCCAAAAGAATGTACCATAGTTGGAAATCAATATTTTCAAAGTGTTGAGAGTAAATCACTTTATTCTGGGCATCTAATCAACTAGGAAAGCTAGTGGAAATGCAATACAAGAAGCAGGCAGAGAATCTTTTCTTGATTGAAACTACTATTTTATTCCTATTGGGTGGGAACTAATGGTAAGTTGATTTCCTGAATTTAAAGAAACCAATATGACCATATTAATAACATTTTGTATAACTAGGTAAAAAGCCCGAAGCTATTCAATTTGCTTGTGTCATTATACTAGCTGAGATGTTAGTGTAGAATTAGAGAGATATAATCAATGACCTATTAAGACACTGATCACAGTAATACGCAATATTGGAAAAACAATAATATCTTTTGATCTAGTGCTTCATCTTAATTTTTATTTTCTTTTAGACATTCTAAATTTTAAAATAAAAACCTTTACATTTACTAAACAGTGGTTCAGCAATGGCAAGGTTACATGTGGTTTCATGAACATACACTTACAAAAGTGCTCACTAGCTCGTTGAATAAGTATTTATGCACATGTACGTGCAGGCAACAGCATGGACTCTGTGCCATAGCAAAAGCATGGTACAGTATGTCCATGAAATGCCTGTGGTCAACATGCATTCAACAATTACATCAGGTAGTACATGTACCAAATCTATTTAGAGTCCTTGTTCAGGATTTGCATGTAGCTGACAACTCTGAAAGATTTTACAATGGTTTTGTTTTCAGTTTTTACTTTTTATAGTAGATAAGCCTTACAAAGATGGATATAACTAGCTGAGGATCTACCAAAGAAAAGAGTCATGTACAGCATCTAAAAGAAGACCTTCTGTGTTCTTCGTTCTACAGGAGAATGCTAGAGAGATGTCTAAGAAGTTGTTCCCTGAAGATCATATACTTAGCCTGATTTCCCTTGTTTTATTACCAAAAGACCATCTTTTCTTTCAGGCAACAGTTGCAGCGTTTGCAGCCAGCGAAGGTCACTCTCACCCACGGGTAGTGGAACTGCCAAAGACTGATGAAGGCCTGGGTTTTAACGTGATGGGAGGAAAGGAACAAAATTCCCCAATTTATATCTCCCGCATCATCCCCGGAGGGGTAGCTGAAAGACACGGAGGCCTGAAGAGAGGAGATCAGCTGCTCTCGGTGAACGGAGTGGTATGTTGGTAAAATACTGAAGTTTATTCTCCCTAAGTACATTTCTCCCCCACCCCCATTACTGAAGCCAGTTTTGAAATTCTAGTACAAATGGTAATTTTATATCCATATCCAACCAGCTTCCTGGGATTGGATGGGTAAAAAATCTATAAGGCATTAATTTTATATTTTTATGCTTCATTTCATCTTGCACACGTATGATAAATATCGACAGCAGAAAATCATGTCAAGAAATTATCACAAAGAATTTCCCCCTCAGAATACTGCTATTAAATCCGTCTTCAAAAGAATATAATTTCAATGTTGTTTTCATCCTAAATTCCGATAAGCAATTGGGTTTGAGGTTTTGTTTTGCTTTAGTTTGTTTGTTTGTTTGTTCATTTGTTTCAGTGCCAGGCATTGTATCCACAGTCATGTGCATGTACCACCAAACCACAACCCCACTCCAAGAAATAGTTTCCTGTGAAACAAATAAGAATTTCTCCTTATCTTCCACTTGTATCAAACATAACCAATCTAAGGTCACAAATTCCAGAAATAATCAGGAATTTGTCAAAATAGAATTTCCCCTTGGCCTAAAAACATTTACTATAAGAGCTTAAGATTTAATATATAAGCTCTATTTCAGTTCTTTGTAGATACTCTGATTTATGCTCAAAACACAATATCTAGCATATCATATTTGAAATGAGATACTCTATTGGTTATTGGGGTATAATTTTATCTTTATATTTTTAATCTTGTTTTCATTTGTTTATATTTAAAAACCAAAAGCTTATTTCATATTACAAAAACAGTTGTTTTGTATTACAAAAAGCTATTCATGGAATTCTGCTGCTTTCTAATGAACATCAAAACTAGCAATCCATGAATATTTTATATCATCATTCCAATCACCAAATTACCATTCCCTCTACTTTCTCTAGGCAACAGTGCTTTGAGATAAGTGTCTTATTGACCTTTCAATAGCTATCCATTTTCAAAGATTGTATCCAATGATAATTGTAGAGCCCAACCCAGCTTTCTGATAGAGAATTCCGAGCAGGGTCAAACATTATGATGCATACTAAGCTATGCCTCGGGTTATTAACTTATCATTTCTCTGAGATTACTTTGTAGAACTAAAGAATGTATAGGTTTAAAAATAGGAAGAAGGGTAGCAAAAAAGTCACTCAAATGTGTGTATAGTCATAGGAGCTGTACAAAGCAACCATAACCACCTATGACATCAATCATCAGTCTAATAGGTAAATTGACTTTGAACTGTCTATCAAGGGAGCAAACAGCTGTGTTTAACCCACACATTTGCAAGGAGCCCAGCTCCCAGCATTTCACAATCAGGCATCTATTTCTGCTGTGACCTTGTGGTGAACCTGGGAAGCAGCAGGGAGCATGGCAACAATGAAATCAAGCAGACCTAGTTTTACCATATTGTTATAGACTAATTGTGTCTAATCCCTAACTTTGCTATCTAAAAGGCAAGCAGGCAGAGTGGTTACTAATTATAAGAACACTAGTGAAAATTAGTGAGGCCACATGTCTTCCAAAAACCATCCTGTGTGATCATTTTGTCATAGGTACCTTTGAAAAATAATTGTGAACACTAAAGAAGGTTGAATGAAGTGAGTGAGATTTTTAAAGGACCAGGAATATTGCTTTTATTGATGTGGTGGAAAGTAAACCTTAAAGAAAATTTTGCTGCACATAAAGCTCTATGCAAATTAACATACATGTATAAATAAGAAGCTTGCCATCACCTCTCTTCAATGAAGCTGGTGAGGTCCCTCTTCTCTGTATATTTGGGTAATCCAGCCATAGACTTGGAAGGAAGACCCACTTGAGTCGGGTAAGAATATTCCAGGGTCAAAAGTTTTTGCCTTATATTGAACGTCAGAGAACCATAAATTCTATTAAGCATACACTTTAACTTTTATCCTATTTTCACATGCTTTTTGTTTGTTTGTTTCTTTTTGTTTTTTGTTTTGTTTTTATTTATTTGTAAGTTTAAATTTAGAAACAAGGTTGCTTCACAAGTCAGTTCCAGGTCCCTCTCCATTTCCCTCCCCTCCCCCCGTGCCCTCGCTCCAACCCCCCTCCCATATCCCCTCATTTCCCCAGATGGGTGAGGCCCTCCATAGGGGTGTCCATAGTCCATCATTTCAACCAGGGCAGGACATAGACCCTCCCCCAAGAGTTCAGGGTGAGAGTGCATCTCACATTGTTGGATGGGAGTCCAAAGTACATGTGTATACTCGGGATAAATAGTGATCTACGGCCCCAAGACTCAGTAGATTACCTAGGCCTCCTCACTGACATCCCCATTCAGGGGTCTTGATCAGTCCCATGCTGGACTCCCAGGCATCAGCCTGGGATTCAAGAGTTATCCCTTGTCAGGTCAGCTGTTTCTGGGGGTTAAACCAGCCCAGTCTTAATCCCTTTGATCATCAGTCCTCCCTCTCTGTTACTGGCTTTCTTGAGTTCAGCTCAGTGCTTAGCCATGGGAGTCTGCCTCTTCTTCCATCAGCCACTGAATGAAGATTCTGTTTCCCAGACTCTCTGGCCATGGGATTATAGGCTGGCTCTCCTCAGTTCTATGTCTAAAGTCCATATATGAGAGAGTACATGCCATATTTCTCTTTTTGTGACTGCGTTACCTCACTCAGGATGGTTTCTTCTAGTGTCATCCATTTGCCTGCAAATCTCAGGATTCCATTTTTTTTCTGCTGAATAGTACTCCATTGTGTAAATGTACCACATTTTCTCTATCCACTGTTCGGTTGAGGGGCATCTAGGTTGCTTCCAAGTTCTGGCTATTACAAATAATGCTGCTATGAGCATAGCCCAACAGACATCCTTGTATGAATGTGAATCTTTTGGGTATATGCCTAAGAGTGGAGTTGCTGGGTCTTGTGGCAGGTTTATTCCCATTTTTCTGAGGAATCTCCATACTGATTTCCAAAGTGGCTGAACAAGTTGGCACTCCCTCCAGCAATGGAGGAGTGTTCCCCTTTTACCACATCCTCTCCAGCATAAATTGTCTTTGGTGTTTTTATTTTAGCCATTCTGACAGGAATGAGATGGTATCTCAGAGTTGTTTTGATTTGCATTTCCCAGATGGCTAAGGATATAGAGCACTTTCTCAAGTGCCTCTCAGCCATTTGAGACTCCTCTATTGAAAATTCTCTATTTAGTTCTGCAGCCCACTTTTTAATTGGATCCTTAGGTGTTTTGGAGACTTGCTTCTTGAGTTCTTTGAAAATTTTGGAGATCAACCCTCTGTCAGATGTGAGATTAATGAATATTTTTTGCCATTCTGTGGGCTGCCTTTTTGTCTTGCTAACTGTGTCCTTTGCCTTACAGAAGCTTCTCAGTTTCAGGAAGTCCCATTTAATAATTGTGGATCTCACTGTCTGTGCTACTGGTGTTATGTTCAGGAAGCTGTCTCCTGTACCAATTCGTTCAAGGGTACTACCCACTTTCTCTTCTAAGAGGTTCAGTGTATCTGGATTTATGTTGAGGTCTTTGATCCATTTAGACCTAAGTTTTGTGCATGGAGATAAACATGGATCAATCTGCATTCTTCTACATGCAGCCTCCAGTTATGCCAGCACCATTTGTTGAAGATGATTTCTTTATTCCATTGTATATTTTTAGCTTCTTTGTCAAACATCAGATGTTCATATGTGTGGGGGTTAATATCAGGGTTTTCAATTCGATTCCATTGGTCTACCTGTCTACTTTTGTGCCAATACCAAGCTGTTTTTCAGGACTATAGCTCTATAATAGAGCTTGAAGTCAGGGATGGTGATGCCTCTGGATGTTGCTTTGTTGAATAGGGTTGTTTTGGCTATCCTGGGTCTTTTGTTATTCCATACAAAATTGATTATTGTTCTTTCAAGGTCTGTGAAGAATTGTGCTGGGATCTTAATGGGGATTGTATTGAATCTGTAGATTGCTTTTGGCAGGATTTCCATTTTTACTACATTGATCCTACCTATCCAAGAGCATGGGAGATCTTTCCACTTTCTGAGGGCTTCTTTAATTTCTTTCTTTAAAGATTCAAAGTTCTTGCGATACATGTCTTTCACTTGTTTGGTTAGCGTTACCCCTAGGTATTTTATGTTGTTTGTGGCAGTTGTAAAGGGTGATGTTTCTCTGATTTCTTTCTCAGCCCTTTTATCATCTGTACATAGTATGGCTACTGATTTTCTGGAGTTGATCTGAAGAATCACTTTGCTGAAGGTGTTAATCAGCTGTAAGAGTTGCCTGGTAGAGTTCTTTGGGTCATTTATGCAAACTATCATATCATCTGCAAATAGTGAAAGTTTGACCTCTTCCTTCCCAATTTGTATCCCCTTGATCCCCTTTTGTTGTTGTATGGCTCTGGCTAGAACTTCAACTTCAATGTTGAAAAGGTATGGAGAGAGTGGACAGCCTTGTCTTGTTCCTGATTTTAGAGGAATTGCGTTGAATTTCTGTCCATTTAGTTTGATGTTTGCTGTTGATTTACTGTATATAGCTTTTATTATGTTTAAGTATGTTCCTGTTATCCCGGATCTCTCCAAGACCTTTATTGTGAAGGGGTGTTGGATTTTGTCAAAGGCTTTTTCAGCATCTAGTGAGATGATCATGTGATTTTTGTTTTTCAGCTTGTTTATATGGTGGATTACGTTGATGGATTTTCATATGTTGAACCATCCCTGCATCCCTGGGATGAAACCTACTTGATCGTGCTGAATGATTGTTTTGATGTGTTCTTGGATCCGATTTGTCAGTATTTTATTGAGTATTTTTGCATCAATGTTCATGAGGGATATTGGTCTGAAGTTCTCTTTCTTAGTTGTATCTTTGTGTGGCTTGGGGTTCAAGGTTATTGAAGCCTCGTAGAAAGAGTTTGGCAAAGACCCTTCTGCTTCTATTGAGTGGAATACTTTGAGAAGAATTGGTATAAGCTGTTCTTTGAATTTCTGGTAGAATTCTACACTGAGGCCATCTGGATC